GATTCACAATCAGCCAAGGTTTCGGGTGAACCCGTTATGAAACCTAGCCCCACCCTATCATGTGATTTATTAAGGTCAAATGGCCCAGGATGTGAGTGGGCTTTAAGGTGTATGAGAAGGGATCTCAAAACTTTTCAGAGATGAGAGGTGTATCGTCTTCAAGGAAACGTAAAGAATTCCAGACACTTTTCTTTCCTAACACCTTAGACTACGATGACCTGGATGACTGAGAACCTTCACAGACGTGTGTATGTTAGTTAAAAAGTACCTAAAAGCATGGAAAATGTATCTGTCTCTGTCATGAGTTCTTACATTTATGCATGGGCAAACAGGAATGATTAAAACTGTTTTGTGTGGTTTTCACAGCCCAGGAAATTCTACAGGACAGTTTTTGGTTAATTTAAGTAACTTGACTCGGTCGATTGCACATCAAGGGGCTTGGTGTAAAAAGGTGTCTTAAAAGCGGGCTAAGATGCATGAAGAAAGATAGAAAGCGAATATGTTTTGGAACAAAGTTCAGTGCAGATTTTTCCTCAGCAACATTTACTAGATAGCTAAATGTTGCTCCCTTTGCTAGTTGGCAACAGAAAAACTAGTTGGTTAAACTAAATTTAATGCACAAAGGCATTTACATGTCCCGTCTAGCAACCCTCCTCTCCATTATACAATGTTGCAGATGGATGAGATGCAAGGTAGCATTGGAAACCACTGTATTAGTACTGTATTGAAGTTTTGTAGTGTTGTATTTTAAACTACAACATAAACTGTTGTATGTAGGCTGTGTAAGCGTAAACTGACACATAACCAGTAGATGCCCAACTGTCTTCTGAATTTTTTCACATCAGTCAATTTGTTCCTAAAAACAAACATCAGACTAAACCCTGAATTGTCTGCTTTAGGGTAGAAATTGGTCACCAGAATGGTACCAGTCATATTTTTATACAGGGAGTGCAGAATTATTAGGCAAATGAGTATTTTGTCCACATCATCCTCTTCATGCATGTTGTCTTACTCCAAGCTGTATAGGCTCAAAAGCCTACTACGTATTAAGCATATTAGGTGATGTGCATCTCTGTAATGAGAAGGGGTGTGGTCTAATGACATCAA